CATTTAAGGGCAAGTGACTTTGACATTTCATTTGGTAAAAATCCTTAACATCAACCCCTGTTGATAAAGGCTTCAACGTGAAAAACTCCTCCTTCCTGATTGGTCCCAGATTAAAGCACATTTTAAGCCCAGTTTCTGAGCAGGTGGAGGAAATCTACTGGTAGAAGAGATGAATGTGAGACTGATGCCTCTGCACTTAAAGAAAGTGACAGCATGACAATAAAAACTGAGCGCATGTTGTACTAAATGCACATCACATGCAAGGTTATAGGTTTATGTTGGAAGAGTATTGTGCCAAAGATGTTCTTCTCTCTGTCCTTGATTGACAGATGATTTGTTGGAGCTCAGACGGCAGCTGCAGCTGGCTTTATGCAATGAGCAGAGAGCTGTGAAGGTCCTCTCTGGGTGATTATCTGAGCGACAACAGCCCTGCCACTCACCGTACACCTGACCGTCACCGCTTGTTAACACACTCCTGCACATCCTCAAGAATAGGACAGATTGGACACATCCATGGGCTTGATGGTGTTATTATTTTCACAGAAACACTTTGTTTCAACGTTATTACTCTACAAATGTAAAATATCAGTTTTTTTCCCCCAATAACAAAGCATAAGAAATCCATTCAGATGCACAATTAAAGCATCAGTCTAGTAACATGTAGCAGGATTAATGAACCCTGCTCTCCATGACTGGATAAAACTGTTGCACCAAATTACCTGCCAGCAGGGGGTGCTGTGAGTAAAAACAGACTCTTCCAATTTCATCTCTCCATGCCTCCGGTTATGGTCATATTTCTAGTTTGAGGTGTAGGTTTGGTCAGGAGTGTACACTGTACAAAATCTATACAAAATGTATATATGCACGTGTGTGTATATTTTTAAGCCATGCCAGGGGGGTGTGGGGGCATGGGATGAGAGATTGCATGAATGATTGAAAACTAAATTTGACTTTTGAAAATCCAATACCAAAAATGGCCAGAAGATGGCAGAAGTGCGTCTATATCTACCACTTGCATGAACCTTTCCATGAACATTTCTGTTGATATCCAGTTTTGCTGCTAAGCGTTGTTCGGCAAGGAAAGCACACACCCTTAATTCTAACTCGCATAGACGCTCAGATATTGACATCAGCTGTTTCCGTAGCAGGTTTCCTCTTTTTCCAGGACATGTCCTGCTTTTGAGACCTATAAAAATGTCTGGGGGGAATTTCAAAATCGTCCAGGATTTTGGTCGACTACAGTGCAGCAGGTAGTCGATCGCAGACCTGCGGACGAGGGCAGGGAGTCAATATTTGTACTGTCACATTGAGAAAAAGATGAATCTCCACCCCAACAGGCTCAGAGAGTTGGGACTGAAACCGGAAACCTTTATGCTTTGGTTCTGCTGACTGATTTTTGTTTCAACTCTAAATAGATTAGAGGGACCTGTTAGTTTTTGGAACATGGCTGCGTTGGAGGGAGGCAGCAGCCTTTGACCAACATTACCTCATTCATTTGCTGAAGAACACAATGCTACGTTCAGACCGCAAGCATCAGAAGCAGAAAAAACGCACGTGCTGCTTAATTTTTGATGCTTGTACCAGTTTAGTTCTGACGCACGGCTGAAGCATCTTTGCTGCTCTAGCTGAGCGGTGGGCGGAGCTACCCTATCCTTTCTTTGCCTGGAAAAATGGCAGCTATATTAGCTGTGATCAGCGGGTAAAAAGTAGTTAGAATCTATGTTGAAGTGAGAAAGTCCTCCTGAAAACATGGTCTGTGCAGTCAGTTCATCCAGATTACCATCCTGCCTTCAAAGATTATTTCTCTGTGGGAGCCGCTCAGACCCCCACATACCGGCGCTGCGCTGTCACTAGGAATCCCCAGCAGCAGCTGCCTCAGGCCCGCTCGCCTCTTGGGGGTTTTCCGCTAATGTTCGTGGCGGCTGGAAGGCGTTTTTTTTTTACATACGTATCTAAACTGCAGGCAGCAGGATAATAAAATCAAACTTATTTTGCTGGCAGGTTTTGACATTTGAAGTTAATTTAGGCGTTAATAAACTGTTTCAGAGGAGTGATCATAGCGCTCTGCATCAGCAGTGCTGCGTCTGACTCCCTGCCAGCTCCCAGATCCGCTTCTCTGATTTGTTGATGTGGCGCATCGAGCAGCAAAAGTTATTTTTTTCCAACTCAAGCAGCGTTGCTCACGTCAGATGCTCAGGAGCTTAATGATGCTTCAGCTAAACCAAACGCGCTGCAGGACCTTTTGCTGCACCTTGATGCGCGTCAACCATTGACTTTGCATGTAAACCTGCTGCCTCTGCTGCTTTCGGTCTGAACGTAGCATAATACTAATGTATTATGTTGTGTATGTTTAAATAAAAGTTAAAAGAAAAAAAAAATTTATACCAGAAATCCAATTTCCAATCAGAACAAAACAATTGATTCTAAAATTCGAGAATCGAATCGATTCTTGGAATTTGAATTTATACCAGCCCTGTTTAAACTACGTGTTAAAAGAATCGGACATGTTTGACTGACCAGAAGGACCAACCGTAGTCCCAGTTGTGGGGTCTCCAGTCTTCAGGACCCAGACTGACTGTGATCTGGAACACCTGAGTGTACATCATGTGGGCCACCATACCCAGCAGACCTGCAGCAAACACAAACAGGACAAAACATATTTCTGACAGCAATGGCTCATATTACCCTTTTAATAAACAATAATATAATTGATTTTGTGGAAACGTTTAGCGCCTGATCTTCAAAGCTTCCAAGCAGTGCTTAGTTACACATAAAACACTTTGAGCGATGCAGTAAGTAGGCGTATTAGTGGTGATCAAATAATAAGACCTGTAAAACACCTCGGTTCTTCAAACAGATTATGTTCGGCCGGCAGAGTGAGGGTCCATTAAAAAGGTTGAAGTTCTGAGCCATAGGAAAGTAATAATGACAATAAATACCCAAAAAATTATTAATATTTATATAGCACTTCACAAAGGTAGTAGAGCGGAACCATTTGGGCAGAAATAGAACTGGAAAATTTAGATTTCTCTTATTTCATATATTGATTTATGCTATTTACTAACTGAAAAATCTTTTGACTCAGTCTGTTTCACCTGCAAGGCAACAAAATGTCTGAGTGAGGCTGTTTGCAGAAAAGACATACCTTCTTCCCATAAGAAACCAGATTCTTTCAAGGTTTATTCATAACATGTTACTGTTTAACCAAAGTGTCTGTAATTTGTTTTGACTCTGACTACTTTCCATTGTTGTAAGTAAGGAGGAACGAACGCTGGCCATACTTTAATCTATGTTCAGAGATCCTTTCCATGTAAAGCCGGGCGTAAACCGTATGATTTTTTTTGCTCTTTTCAGGCCGATTTTCCAGTTGTGTGAGAATTTTTGGTTCAGGCAGACTTTTTTCCTGATGGTGCGTTGTGTAGTGAACAGGGGGTAACGAGGGGCGATCAGCCCCTAACGACCACCTCCCCATCAGGAATCGTGAGGTCAGGAGAAAATTAAACGTTTGAAAATCAGTCGGCCGTCATAAGGTGGTCATGGGCAAACCGCTCAGAGCACAAAGAAGGATTCTTCTTCTTCTTCTTCCTCTCAGATGAAAACACAGCAGCATGGCGGACTGACAGACCGTAGTAGCCACGTTAGCTCAGCCATGTCTTTGTCCAAATACGTCGTCTCCTTTTCTTTTTAGGGCTTTCAGCACTAAATTAAACAAATATCCAAGGCAGCGCGTTTAACTCTAGTGAGCTTCATGTTCCTCTTCTACTCCTTCGGCTTCCCGCTAGACGAGTCCGAGTAGCGCCATCTCACTGCGGAGCTGAGTCCCACCTGGTTTTTAGACGTACAGTGTGAGCAGGTAGATCGCATCAGAGCGTCGGCTGTGAGAACAAACATGGTGAGCTGGGAACTTTTAAACCGTGCGGTTTCGTTTAGCAGTGTGAGCTGTAGCTGAAAAAATCGCACACACTCATTCATCTAAAACAGCATTTTATTTCATCCTTTTAATGCTGTCTGTTTCACTATCATTAGAAATAATACAGTAATTCAGTAATGATTTTAGCTTTTAGGAATCAGCTTTCTCAATAAAAAACGAATGAGATGTATTAGTAAAATAATAGCAGTAAAGTAACTTAATTCACACAAAATATAAAATATTTATTGTTTGCTGTCAAACCTTTTGTGTTGCTAATAAATAAAACTTTTAAATGAAATTTCTAATATTTATTTTTTTTCCTAAATGTCCTTACTGCCCCACTACAGTATAATTTAATGTATAAAAAAGGTCCAATGAAAATTCTGTATAATGAAAGTTGATCAATAAAGCTGTTAAAGGTTTGCGTCAAACTTCTTATATAACAGCTCTGACTCTTATTAGGAAAACATGATCCATCAGGATCATTAGTGGAAACCACCCAGCAGTAAATCAGAGACGCTCTGCTTTCGCCTCACTAATAAATCACAACGTTCCCGAACACCAGAGTCACTCGTTACACCGAATCAATTGATTTAATGCCGCCGTGATCAGCCTTCTAATCAATTAGACATGGGGACGTAATCACTTATGAAATTACAGCAAATCAAAGCGGAGACGGTGAGCGAGTGGAAGGCATGAGAGTGATGAAGACTGGATCCTAATCAAACCATCAGCTGTGTGTGTG